ATAACAAAAAAAAAAAAAAAAGAATAGAAGTAGTATTAACTACCTAGCAGTTGGCGAGTGTACGGACATTTTCCTAGTGGGCTTGGGTAACCACCCACCTAACCGGGTCAGAGGGTATCATGAGGCGTGGCTTCACCTGCGCTTCATCAGTGTCAGCCGAAAAGTATGCAAGCATTTTTCGCACTTTATAATTAAACAAGTGGCGAGAGACAAAAAGCTGACTTGAGCTTGCGAAAGCAACGAAGGCATCTTCCATCCCCCTGCCCTCTTCCCCATCCAGACGCCCTCTTCAGCAGTCGCCTTGCACGCCTCTGCTCTGGTGACAATCTAGCAACATTTGCACTGTAATGAACTTTTGCAATAAACTGCGCCGCAATTTTTCGCTGACAAAAACTTTGCTCTCTTCGTCTCTATAATTTTTTGGTCTTTTTCGGCTGCCCGCCTCACTTTCCCCTGCCCCACCACAACTTTTGTAGTGGGGCGTGGCATTGCGAAATATTTCGCAGTCCAACGAAGGCTTGCACCCGGCTTGCTTATTTGTTTTGCAGCATCTCTCATTTCCGCATAGCTAGCTGCGCATTTTTATTGCACTCCAAATGCTGAATGCAAGTTCAAATGTCAAACTACTTAAAAACTTATTGTTAGCACAAAGTGCGACAGGCCAGGCAGACAGAGATAGCAAGAGACACAGAGACAGAGACAGAGGCCGGCCAAAGAGAAGCGCAGCGGCAGCAGCAACAAATGTAAGTTGAAGATACAAGATACACGATTTGATGGCTATATACATACGCAGAGATACTCTACACAAAAATGAATTTTCAAATAATTTTTAGAAAAAAATAGTAAGTTCATTAATTAAATGTTCCACCACGAAATGAAAAAAGTTTATTGAATAATTGCGTACATTATATTGAATATTAAAGATAGTATTAGAAATTATATTGAACTGGGAACTCTACTGGCCTGATCATCATTTGCTCAAATTTTATGGGTTCCGAAGTCCATGTATGCCATCCAATATCAGAACGGTATGTAGGTTTATATTGTCTTACGTAGCTTCTATTTAGATAGCTGTGAATTATAAGTTAATGATTAACTTTTAGCCAATTTACAACATGTAATTTACTCACATAAAACCACAATTGTTAAACCACCAACCGGAATGATAATTAGTTGCACAATTGAAACGTTCGTTATTATCGCGATCTTCATCATACGTTGAGAATTCCATATTAATATTATAACCCATTACATCGCCTGCATTGCCAGAATATGTTCCCAATGATTTTAGTTTGAAATTTTCCTCCTCTCCTCCAATGAGGATGTGACTATATCGCACATATCCTACATAGTCGCCTACATAGCTCTTCATATAAATGTACAATTCGGGTTTTCGTGACTTCGTCAATAAATGCAGCTTGTCAAGGCCAAGAAAGAATTCTCCACTTAATTCGCCGAAGCCCTTGCGATAATCTCGCATTGGGCGATTGAAGTCCACAGATCCATCTTGACGACGCTGAATTACTATCCAGCCAGAATCGACGAGACTCGAATCACAATACACGTCAAGGGCACTCGATCCAGGCAGTTCTATTTCGTATATACCTATCTCTTTACCTATCTGGGAAAGCAATGTCAACCCCAAAGAGATAAGTCGAAATTTCGCCAAGCCTAGCCTGCATGGCCGTATGTCTATATATGATAATAAAATAACAAAAATATTATAATAATAATAATATTATAGTATATTCTAAATATGAAAGTTACAGTTTATATGGAAATTATTAAAAGAAAATTTTTAAGTTATTCATATACGCATATTATAACTTATTCTAACAAAATATAAATAGATTTTTAGTATTAACATTATTAATGTTTTTTTTTAATATTATTGTTCGCATTTTTATTATTATTATTATTATTATTATTATCTTCCAAATACTTTCGAGCAATTAATCAATTTATTGTGGTAATTATTGTTGTTGTATTTAGCATTTGTAAGCATTAGTTCATTAGTCATTGAGTCCATTATTGGATTTGGCAAGGCCAGCGATGCTCTCCCAGTTTTGTCCGAGTGTAAAAACAATTGCGACTACAGCCGACACTCAAAATGTTGACGACAACAATGAGCCACCAGGCGCTCGCAAGTTGTTGGCAACTAAAACTCAAACAGTTTCAATAGAACAGCAAAAATGATTTGTCATTTGCAGTGCCGAAAAGCAGCCAAGAGGCATCCCAAGAATGCTGTCAAGAAAATAGAGTTTATATGGCTCTGGATAACGGTAAGCTGGAGAGCAGTTCATGGAATCCGGCTACTCGTTGCTTGAGCACGTTTCATGTTCTCTCTTTAACTGCAAATCAAAATGTATTTAAATGCATTTCTTGCCGCAAAACGCATCATATTTGCAGCTGCCACTAGGCGCCGGCTGGGACGGGGCGGGATCAAAGACCGTGCGCCTTTTTTTGGTTGCCCAAATCTACATTGTTGACTTTGCATAATAATTGAGTTTAACTACTGCCAAAAGCGTAGCCAACTGCGGCTTGCGGGCTGTGGATGGCAGAGCTTAGCTGCTTGGTTGGACTTCTGTTTGGGGCAAGTCAAATCAAGACAAGTGCAGGACACTCTCTCTCTTTCTCTCCCTCTGTCTGTATGTGTGTGTGTGTGTATGTGTTTGGGTTCTTCATTGGAATGTTTGGCAATTTGCATAGACTGCTGCACATAACGCCACCCGTACACACACACATACCACACACACACACACGCACATACACTTGCAGAGTGCTCACGCACCATCCACTGTTGCTGAAGCTGCTGCTACAGCCGCTGCAGACATATATCGACAGTCTCGCAGCTAGACAGTGAATACCCAGTACAAGTTCACGTCAGTTTCCCAGATAGGGTACCAACTGCAATCATATATGTCCCAATGAACCCAACAACAAGTTGCAATATCGAACAGCAACAAATCAGTTATTGACTAGAATTAGATTAATTATAGATATATGTATATAAAGCACAAAACAAACTAAAAAACATTTGATAAAACCGTCTAATAATACAGAAAATATATGATCTCGAAGCAAAATGTTTATATCAATACAGTCAATACATAATGACCAACTATAATAGATTACAATTCTACTCATTAATGATAATATGAAAACATAATATATAATTAATTATAACAAATATTTTTCATTATAGTTATTTATTGAAAATTAATATTTTTATTTTTTCTCAGCTATATTAAAAAATGAATTATTTTTACCAATTTGTGTTTCTTGTTTGCTCGACGCTTTAATATTTGTAATAAAATTTGTTATATTTTAATAAATTTATTATTTTATTATTTTAACTGAGTATACATTTTATTTATAATTTATATTTAAAATTGAAAATTTTTCTTTTTAAGAAATATAAAATTATTTTTGCTAATTGATCGTATAGGGTTGAAGAAATCTGAATTGTGTAAGCAATTCAGTATGTTACAATAATTTAGAAATAATATGTATTTTCAACAATCAGCTACTGAAGAAAAAATGCAATTAAGACCCCAAACGATTGTTATTAAATTCAATATTTGCTATTTTTATTTTATATATCTTTTCAACAATTTTTTTGTACTATTTTATTCCCATATTTTTTCGTTTTCTTTAGTTGTTATATTTCATTTTTGCATAATATTTATAATATTTTTAGTTTAAAGCTTAGTTCCTTATAGAAATAGAAAAAGTGAATTTGAAAACTTTTCAGCCTGACTGTAGTTTAATATAAACAAAATGTTTACGGCTCTCAGCAGGCAAACACAATATAAGGCTGTGTAGACTTTGTGACTGTGGTAGATGAGTGTGTGCAGATATGCATTGGGGGTGGCGTGTGTGTGTGTGTGTGTGGATATGTGTTTCAGTGACCAGAGGAAGGAGTTGTCAACAAAAACATAGAGACGCACTTATACGCAAATGTGTGCTGCCCGCTGCGAGAGTTTGCGAAGAGCTGCTGCAGAAGACTAAACAAAAAGTTCAGACAACCTGATGCTATGGCCACTCGCACCGGTTGCTGCTGTGAGGCACTTGTTTTCCTAGTCCTTGTCGACGCTCGGCCTATCCCTATCGACGTGGTCTCTTGTCCAACTGAATGCCGTTCCCTCTCCCTCTTTCTCCCTCACTCTCTCTCGCTTTCTCTCTTGCTCTCACTCTGTATCACTCTTTTGCTGTGTGTGTTTGCGAACTTTATTAGCAAAATTGTGTTAGTACCGAAATATCCATTAGCCCAATTACGTGTACTTTTGTATCTACGAGCACAGCCAGCTGCCCAGGAGCTGAGAGCTTGTTCTAGATGGTGCACAGCTCTCTGCCATTGCACCAACAAACAAACATAGATATTGTAGGAAAATTCAAGCAAATATGATGACAACTATGCCCAAGTTTCAAGATTCGTTTTCAATATATACAGATATATATATATATATATATATAGACGAAGAAGCATTTAAATAAAACTTTATCTTCATTTTTTTTGGAAAAAAAAACCCAACAATCTTTTAAATTGATTAAATAAATACAAATATATATATATATATATATATATATATATATATATATATATATATATATATATATTTTTTTTTTTTTTTTTTTTTTAATATATACATAACTGTAACTTTCAAAATTATATATGTATGTTATTTTATTTAAGACTTGTAGAGCAATTTAAGAAATTTTAAAGTTTTATCCATTACATAAACAATGAAAACTATTTTGTTTTTGTATGAAAGTAATTAAGTTAATATAAATTTATATATTTAGTTTCCATAACGAAATATATATATATTTAATTTATTTATTTATTTAGATTTTCATTTACATAAACTTTTCAAAGAAAATCTTACTGAATATGTTTTTACCTTAAATATAGTTTAGAGTATTATTATTATTATTATTATTATTATTAAGTAGTTAGACATAATAATCCTAATAATCTATCTATATTCCACACACGATTGGCATTTTCCCATTTAATAAATCCATCTATATATGTATATATATATATAAATATAGTTCTCTTTGTTTATACAATAACTTATTTAGCCAGTCGATAGTTGTCAAATAGATTATGTGTGAGTTCCTCTTGATGTGGAATGCCAATTGCCGAAATTAAGATATTTGAAACTGGAGTGCTTTTGATTATGAAGTGGTTCGAATGGCTCTGTATGTGTGTGTGTATGCGAGTGTATGTGTGTCTGTGAATGTGTGTGAGCATAGGGAAAAGCACTAAAGAATTGATTCAAATGAGTCCAGCTCGAGCTAATGTTTCTCAATGCAATGGAAGGCATAAAATGCAAAAATAATTCCACAGATCACCAAGAGTTTGTTGAAGGTATTCTTTTATGATCTGAAAACAGAAAACGATAAAACTTGTAAAATTATGATAGCTTTAAATCGAAAGTAATAATTTAATAAAAATAAAAATAATTTAATTAAATAAAATAATATTCTTTATAAATAAACGGTAACTAAAATGTAAGGTCTTGGCTAAAATCCAAAAAGCTAACCAAGTAAACCTAACTAATTCGATAGCAATCGAGATTTTTTTTAAATGTTTCATATTTAGATAGAACATTTTAAAAGAAGATAAAACTCTAATAACAGAGCTAACACTGAGAGTGACTGTGTTTACTAGGTCCTGTTGGTCAGTGTAACTTACTCGTTGCATTTCTGTATTTGGATTTTCTTGCGCTTGCTGTTTGCGGTCGAGCAGTTGAATTTCATTTGAGCTAAATTGCATGGCTTGCTGCCGAAATAGAAGCTAAATCTGATTGTCATTTATCTGTACTGTTTGTACACATGAAAACATGGCCAGACACTCAAAATATATATACGTATATTGATTTATTGTAGATATTTTCAATTGTCTACATCAATTGACTCTGTTAAGGGCTTGGCTATTGGTCATCAAGTGTGAAGTAGGAATCATTGAAACGGACAGCAATTTGACAGACTTGTCAATGCCCTGCTAAATGAACTGAATGAATCTACCAGGCGCAGGTTGGTAGCACCAGCAGTTTAGTATTGATCCTTATTATTATTACTCTGTGTTGAGTGGGTAAAGGCTCAGCAGAGGTCTAGCGCCAATTGAGTTACGTATTTCGTTTATTGTCTTACTTAATTAATTAAGCATTTGAATGCTCAAGATATTTGCGTCATTTGCCCAGGAACGAAAGGCGATGCAAAGCAAACCCAAGATGTTGATATCCCTTAAATTTTTACTCATTTACCCATAATGAATTCAATCTTGTTAATAAGGTATACTTCCCCTCGTGTCAAAGTATGTAACAGACAGCAGTAGGCGTGGCAGTTGGCATGATAAATTATCGTAGTTGCTAACTTTCGATAATTATCGATAATTTATTTATTTACTTTTCCTATGTAGAATGCCTAGTCCAACAGCAATTGGAAGCGAAGCAGCATATAGGGTATATTTCAGTCTGGCACGGCCGAATGGGGGACTTTTACCTATTATTATATATTTTTTGCTTGGTTTTCACACCATTTTCGTGGCACAAAAAGCTTGGAAGAGCGTAAGAGTACTTAAAAAGCGGAAAGATAGCCGAAGAGCAGAAGTGTGGAGGAGGAGTTGATGACTTGCCGTAGAGGCGGATGTAAAAGCCTGCGAGGCAGCTTGAATGCTTAGTGCTTATGTATTATGAATAATTTTACACAATTTTCCTTTTACGAGCAACTCTTTCGCTTGGATTTCTTCAACTGCTGCCGCACGCTGGGCTAGTTTGTGCTTTTATGAATGCTGCTACTGCTGCTGCTGCTGCTGCAATGTCGTAAATAGCGGAAAATTCAATTAAAAAGCTTCAGTCACTAGAAAAATATCGTCGCCATGGCAATGGCTGTGACATAGGTATTGTCCAGGACGATGCGACGCGTCGCGACCCGCCCCCGCGATGACGGCGACAGCGAACAAGTGAATAGGCGCGCACAGCGGGCTGCTCAAGGGATAGTCCGGGGCGGGCGGGAGTTGGACGAACGTATTGCTGTCTCTCTCCAACCCCCCCCCTTCCCCTCCCTCTCTCTCTCCCTCTCTGTGTGTGTCATTGTAACGGTCTTCAGCCGAACACAGTCTGCCCTGGCTCCAGCTGAGCAATCACGTGACAGGTTTGTCAGGCTTTTGCTGAAAAACAAACCGAGCCTGCCAACTGCTCCAGCATCCACATCCCACTCATCCATCGTCAATTTCGCAACTAAAGACAAAAAAAAAGTTAGAAACACCAGAATAGCTTTGGAAATCGTGGAAAATATTCTCAGTACGTTTGTCTTTTTCAACTTTTCATTTGCTATGCCTTCCCTTTTGCAATATTTTTTGCTGTTCTTCTTCCTATTTCTGCAGCTTCTTTGGCCAGCTGTTGCCAGGAGGCAGAGAGTCTTCTGCCTCTGCATATAGCCGGCTGGTTGAAGTCCAGTTCAGGAATCAATTTACAGCATATGCTGATGGGTAGAGCATACGCGCTGTCTGTTCATAAGATAAAATGAGTTTTCCGAATATGAAAAGAGCCCAAGCTTCTGATTGAATGAACAGATAGAATACAGTTAACTTGGTATTATAATATTAATTATCTTTATTATGTAGTGTAGATTTGTTATCTATCCATTTGTTATCTATCTATATATATATGAAAGTATTTTGTTTACAATTTTTTTTTTTAATTTAAGATGATTTTTAATCAATTTATAATGGGGCTTATTGATTTGTTTTCTTTTTTTTATTGTTTAATTGAATTACAAGAATTTCTAAATGCTGTTAAATATCGTTTTTGAGTGGAAGACTTTGTGATAAATATTTTTTAATAATACATTTTTTGTGTTTTCATGAACAAAGTTTGATAAACACTGTAAATATATATATTTCTAATTTAAATGAACTTATAAGTTAACATATATGTATGCATATATAGGCGTACGATTTATTAAGTTTGTTATAAGAATTCAATTGAATTTTATCGAATATATACAAATATTTGTATATATTCTATATTTCTCACGTTTGGGATAGGGTTTAATGTGCTATACATATAAGATTTGATAAAATTTGCCAGTAATTAAAAGCGTCTGAGTTATGATATAACTCTTTCCAAATGGAGAAGAGCAAGGGTCTGAGCTTATATATTGCTCTATATTCATGAAGTGTTTGCATTGAATATATATATATATATAATCTATCTCAGCTCATCATCCTTCTCAATTGAAAAGCTGCTCATATTGCAGCACATTAATCTGAAGTCCTAGCTGAGTCTTTCTCGTTTCGAAATAAATTAATTTCAAATGTGAGCCGACAGGAGGCAGTGGCATGTGTCATCCTCAAAATTTCACAGAATCGACAATCTCGTATGAAACTACGTGTGCTATGCTCTCATTGCCGGTTGATGGCGATTGCAATCGACGATTTGATTGTTTGTTTTCGTTCGCATTGCTCGGCCGTTTGTCAGCGACTCTGGCCTCCGTGTGATAGACATGCTTTTGCGCTTTTCTTACTGGTAATTGACAGATTTTTACAGCGTAATGGCAGACAAAATGGTAACGACTTGACCAACAGCAGACACCAGACACCACCTCCCATCACGTATCCATGCTCAACTCAAAACCATACTACACCCACTCACTACTCTACTCCGACATGCAAAGCCAACGACACAAACTTTGGCCTAGAGTAAACAATGAACCACGATTTGATTGAATACACTGCATTTGAGTATCAGCACTATGTATATCGATATAATGTATAAACGAGCTTTATATAACCTTTGCAAGGCAAAGGTTTTCTGAATAAGTTTAGGAGAGTAAGAAAGAAAAAATTAAAAATCATAAAACAATTATTTTCAATATTATTTTAGATAAATTTTTTATTGCTATTTTTCACATTTTTGAAATAAAAATAAATAAATAAATTTAAAAAATAAAATACTATTTTTTATATTGAAGTCGTTAGATATATTTATATATATAATATTTGTATTTATATTAATTAAAAAAAAAACCCTAAAAATAAATCCATTTTAATAAACATTTTTATTATTACTATTACTATTATTATTGTGATTATAAAACAAAAAGTTCATATGTATGTATCGCTAATATTATTACGACAGAGTGTTGTATAGCTCAATGGCAGATTCTGTTTTCTGAGTTTCTCAATTTATGATTGCCTCGAACTGTTGCCGTAGTATTAGTGTAAGCCAGAGAGCTTGTTGTAAATATATTATCCAAGTGAGTTTGCGTCTTATTAGCAAGCATCACATCTTTTGTGTTGTATTCCTATTCCTATGTGTAGTCCTATTCTTACTGTGTGTGCGTGAGGCAGAGAGAGACAAATATAGATGTCACTGAACGTAGTGCGCTTTCTTACCGACTGAGAGAGCGAGATGACGATTTCGGCCAATCGGCTAGGCTCTTTCTAATTATCAGCGGACGAATAGAAACGAACAGATATTGTCAGCTTGGTAGGCGCAAGAAGAAGACGACACATCGAAAACTCCTTATTGGATGCTGTTATAAAAAATTCAAATTGAAATGGAAGCTAACCAAACTGTCATATTTGCATTTAGAGCTCCGCTCAACTGAACAGACTTTTTTTAAATCAGTTGATAATCAGTAAAATCGTTTCTTTTTGGTTGAACTCGACTATTATTTTCAGTGTATTCAATGTTCGTCTATGGCTTGCTCCTTGTTTTCCCGTAGAGAGTCGAGAGTCGAGTTGAGAGTCTTTGTTTGTGCTGGCAGACGCCGTCTGCATTTGATTTGTTGGCACCGCCTCGCCTCGATATATGAATATTAATAGACACATCGGCCTCAGGTCTTGCAGCTTCGACATTTTTTTTCTTTAGCACGCCTTGGACTTGGTTTTGTGCTTGGAGTCTTTGTCTCTATTTGCAGCTCTCTCACTCTCTGGCAGAGTAATCGTAATATTTATTTTTCATTTTGCAAGCTGTGATTTCACACACACACACTCACCTTTGGGCATACCTTTGGCTGGCTACTGCTAGTGCCCTTTGCTTAGTTGTCGCCAAACGGCAAGGACAACGACAACGCCGTCTTTTGCCTTGCCAATTTTTCACTTTAGTGCATAAATATTTATTGCAACTCAATTTCGCAGGCAATAGAAATGCCATTTGCACCATTAATTCAATGCAACACCTGCCAGCAACACCTCTTTGGCATAGACTCACTCACACACACATACACCCAGGCGCACACCTACACATACACACGCAAAAGCGCTGGAATTTGAAAAATGAAGTCAGACTCGAGCAGTTTTGTGTGTTTATAAAGATGCCAACTGTGAAACGCTCTCTTTCTCTCAGTCTTTCATACTCTCTCTGTCTCTTTCTCTCTATATATATTATAGCCATAGCCTAGCTGTTGTTGTTGTTGTTGCTGCTGCTGCTCTTGCCATATTCCATTCATGGTCTTTATCGTTTGTGGCAACAGCTGTTGCCAGAATTATGTTAAAATTTATGCCGCAGCCAGCCAACGAGAGCCCATCATCAGCCCTGGCCAGCCCCCAGCCCCCAGCCCCCAGTAGCCTCGCCCTTTTGTCCATTCGCTTTCTGCCGCTATTTTGGTTATTTTTAAGTGATTTTTAATAAAGTTGGCTTCGGTTTTGGTGGCCAAAAGCCGCAAGTGTGAAGTGCGGAGTGAGGAGTGCGGAGTGAGGAGTGCGGAGTGAGGAGTGTGGAGTGTGAACTTGTGTGTGCGATGGCCAGCTTTACGTTTATGGCTAAGTTTTTTCCTGTTCACTTTCTGGCCCTCTCTTTCTCTGTGTAGAATTTTCCTTCTTTTTTTTTGCCATATTGGAAAAATCGACGCCGGCATTTATGATAAAATGTTGTGGTTTTAGTTTAATTACATTCATTTGACGCTTCACTAACCAAATATGTTTGGCTTTTCTTTTTTTATACTCAATCACGAAAGTAAATTAGTGTATTATCGCACTGCTGTGCGTCCGTCTGCTTGAGTGCCTTGAACTTT